AGCAATATTACCTGCTTTTACCTCAGGCGTTGTTTTGGCCTTCGGCATCCAAACTCGTTCGGATTTCGGTGATCTCTTAATGGCCTCTCCCTTTAGCATTTCTCATGCTTTTTGGACCAGGGCTCGGGTATGCGCACGCAAGGCGCGGCGCTTCTGGATTCGCTCCTCGAGAGTAGAACGGGTTCTTTTGACTTGAACCCATTTGTTTGTTTCTGCTTCGGAGGAGGGGCTGGTTGTTTGCCGTGGTTGCTCCTGGTGTTGCCTGGATTTTAGGTCCACGTTATAGCGGATCCCATCCATTGGCTCCAAAGCCTCGGCCAGCTGACGAGCAAGACGTTGACGTCGTCTTTGTCGTGCTCTCTTTGATAATGCCGGAGCGTCTTCAGAAGTCATCTCCTCGGCGGAAGAGGAGTCCGGATCTGCGATCTCAACCACGTTGGACGACGTGGGGACGTCGCGTGGTGCAAGTGCAGAGGCGGCAACGGGGTCTTGGATTTTTGAACCGAAGGACCTGCAATCATTTATGAAAGAGGTTACCTTTCTGTACCCGTTTGGAGAGGCGGATCTGGAGGAGGAGGAAGAGAGGCCTTCTTTGAACCGTTGTTGATCGAGCTCGTGTTCTTCATTCACCCCGATCTTGAGTGCTGGTTGCGTCACGACGGCGTCGGTTGCGATGCCGTTGGCTCCCACTGTGGTCGCCAGCTTGTTTGCGGAAAAAGTTGCTGTATTCATTGCTGCATTCATTACAACTTCAATCGTTACAATGAAATAAAAAGATAGCCTTTTTATAAGACCGGTACACAATGAAAACAAAAGAAATACAACTCTTTTCAAACAAACGCAAGATCTGTTTGTCATCTCTTGCTTGCGTGGGTCTTTTGCCTGTGACGGGGATGTTGATATCCGTGGACCACCGGGGCACTCAGATCTGGTCCGAGAAAATCGGGCAGAGTTTCGTCTATCCGCGGGGGGATTTTAGAAACTCTGAACCCCGTCGATCCGCGTGGGATCTCAGAGGTGTAAAGCTTATGTCTCGGCTAAAACGAGGCACTAGCTCTCCTTTGTATCACCGCTAAGGGCAACACTAAGGGAAAAGAAGGTGGGGAATGAAGAAGAAGACTCCTTTGCTGCAGAAGGCTCGCTCACTCCTCGATCCGGCAGGGCTTCGCCGCTCTCTTAGAAAACCCCGACTCCTTCCTCCGGCAGGGCTTCGCCGCTCCTCTCTGGAATTTCAGATCTCAAAGGCTAGAGCTCTAGATCTGAAATTCCTCTCCCAAAACCAAGGCCAAGAGAATGGAGGCCCTAGGGGCCTATTTATAGGAAAAGCAAGGGGTAGGGGTTGGTTGAGGACACCCCTAGGGGGGGTGTCTCGGCTCCAAAACCGAGACACCCCTTGGGGTGTCTCGGCCATGGCCGAGACACCCCCAAGGGGTGTCTCGGTTTTGGAGCCGAGACACCCCCCTAGGGGTGTCCTCAACCAGCCCCC